GCTTCTCATAGCTATGTGAAAATAAGTGGATAATTGTAACATTTCATTGTTGGAGCTGAGCTGAATGAGAGAGAGAGAGAGATAGATGCAGAGCAGGGGACGTGAGGAACAGTATTAAGAACCGTTGCTTTAGAACATTGATTTTGAAACTTGTGAATCCATTAGAATCGCTAGAAGACAGAATCGCGGTTCATATATGAATAGATTTTTACGTTCACCTCTAGTTTTCTCTTCCTCTTCTCTAAAGCAGCACAGCATGGCCTCGCCTTTTCCCGAGGGCGAGGTTTATCTGGGTTTGTGATGTCACGAACCCGGGAAGTAACTTGTTGTAGTCCCTACCAGCCGTTTTTGTAGGCATTAAACTGCCAGAATTTTAAATGACATATCTCCATTTGCATTGAACTTTCAGCTTCGTAATTTTGCAGATATTGTTTATGCCCAAACAGCAACATTACACACTAACTAACGTTAAAAAATTGAAATCGCAATCAACCACCCCTTTAAATTTGCGTTTGCACTGCCGTTGACCTAAAGAGAGCAGCTGTCAACTGTCATGAATGAAACAGCTTCACGGTCTTTTCAGCCACACAGTATCATTATTTCTGTGTTACAAACATTCAAATCACAGAAGTACTGGGATAAAAGTGTATAGTTCAGATATAAACTCTGATAGGTACGGTAGCGATTAAATAGAGTAAATCACCTTTTGAAAGTAATTTAACACTTCAAATGAAGATTTGTCGATTACATTGTTATGCCAGTATTTGTGGCGTATTGTAAATGTATTTGTCTTTGAATCATAAAAGAGATTCGTTCAAGAACGCTGATTCATCCAGTAATGAAAATAATTGTCATTGAATCATTTATTTGTCTAATGTTTTTCTTCAGAATCATGAGAGAAACACAACTTCCATTGGGGGAAAAAAAGAGCAAAATTTATCCAGAATCATGCAGTTCTATTTTGCACACAAGCAGCTCTTAAAGAGTCCAGTTTTTATGTAGCCTGTTGATTTTTGATCATGGTATTCAGCTCCAATAAATGAAATAAATAAAAAAGAGACACTGGATAAATGTTTGATATCATTATTTAATCATAAATCGAAACTGGGAATCGAAAAGAATCGGAATTGATCAAATTCAAACGATACCCAACCCTACTCGTGACCTGTTAATGATATCCAGATGTGGAAATCGGCATATGTGGAATTCCAGCGATGACCGATGACCTTTAAATTATTTCCGGGTGTACACTATGAAGATTGATGGTTGTTGAACTCTGTCCCAGTGTCAGGACATAAATGAAGCACTAAAGCTCGTTGCATCCGCCTCCCATGCCGGAGACCCGGGTTCGAGACCCACTCGGAGTGAGAACGAGGTGTGGCGAAGAGGACCCGGGAGAGAGGGGTTACATTGGTGCCGTGACCCAGATGGGCGTGAGGTTTAGGGGG